TCTATCTATCTATCTATCTATCTCTATCTATCTATCTTTATCTCTTTCTCTCTCTCTACATATATACATATATATCCCCCCCCTCTCTCTCCCCCCCCCCCATCTATCTATATTCCATAGTGCAGAACTCAAATGTGAGAAAATGCGAGACTTGCTCAACTCAAAAGATGATGGAAGTGAAAGAAGAATCACACAAGTTGAGGGGCTAGAGTCGTGACTACAGCCCAGAGAATATGTCGACAAGGGTGCAGCCCTTCGTGTGTCCCTTTACACTCGGTGCACCATAACCAAATAGTTGCTTTGCCAATGAAGGATTTCATTTACAGAATGAATCAAAGAACTAAACACGTTTTCAATACCTACAGCGGCTTCAGCTAATGCAATTGTTGCACAGCCCGCTCCGATTATTTTTGCACCTTCTAAAATAGCCATCTTCTTATTGTTAGTGAGAACGTGGGGGCACTCATGTTCAAAAGGGGGCTACGGGGTTATCCTCAGTGCTGTACCAAGTTCTTGCAGCACTGACTTCTGGCCCCTCCTCTAGTCCTGACCCCATTTACTCTCCTCCCTTCCTCTATTCCCTGTCCGGATTCTTTTTCCTTTTTCTCCATTCCCAATAGCCCTATCCATATTGTTGTGCCCAGTTCTTGCAATAGCAGCCATTTGCCTCCTCTAGTCCTGACCCCATTTAGGCTCTGCTCCTCCACTCTCTGTCCTGATTCGTTTTTGCTGCTCTCAATTCCTCCTAGCCGCCAGATTCCTTCCTCACCTGTCAACTGTGCCATATCCCTGTTCTTTTCCTGATTCCAACTCCCTCCACACCTTCCGTTCAACAATGCCACCTTTGCACCCCTCCTCTCCCCTTTTAACTTTCTCCTTCGGTTGAGTCGCTGACCCTGCTTCCTGCCCAAACAAACTCCCTCCCCACCTTCTGCCTCAACTGCACCATCCCTCTTCGCTCTTCAAGCCCGGCACACTTTCTCTAACCCAGACGCCACTACAACTGCAATCAGACCTTAAATGGAAAATCCTGTCAAAGCCCCCCATGCAAGCATATGCAAACAGAAACACTGCCTCCAGACTCGCTAAAACGTTGGGTTCAGAATACTGAAGGTGACTATATAATATATATCCGACTGCAGAATCATCCTGGAGATTCAAAGAGAGAGTTCAAAAACAAGTTTAGAGCACATACGTGAATGCTCGAATAATCAGCATAAAGCCAACAAATACTTCAGCGTTTGCAGAAAACAACTGAATTTGTGTTGCATTCTGCTCCAGCCACAAACAGCCTTTCTGCAGGTAATTCCTGCACACCACACAAAACAAGACGATGTTTACTCCACGTAGATTCAGCCCCGTTGCTCTCTCCAGAATCTGTGAGGAATGACGGAACATTCCCAATTCAATCGGTATACCTTCAACGAGTTGTCTTTCTCTGTAGCCACGAACAGTACACGAACGACTTCAAGAAACATTTAACCGAGCACGAAGTCTATGCAATGCAACATTTGAACTCACAAGCAGAATCGTCCAGCAATTGTGCCTTGAATGCTCCTGAAGCTCCTCCTCTTTGCCTTTTCCTCCTACACCTGTTGCTACTTCCCCTTGTTTGACCTACTCTACTACTACCTATTTGCCTTGCATTGAATTTGGTCTCATTTATTGTCTTCTTGCATATATACTTTGGGTTTTCCAAGTTTTACGGTCACTCAAGGAGACCAGAGCATAAAGAGTGGGACATTCCTTATGCTCCAGTTCCCTACTTTGTGAAAGGATTTCACAGCCGTCAGCCTAGTTCAAGTCCCAAGACCCGTTTCCAGTGCCAGTCTCTGTCGAATGTACCATTTTCCCCAGTGCCAGGTAGGTTAGAGTCAGAAGATTGGCAAAGGAAGATTCAGATATGTACTGGTAGGCTTAGGTTAAGTCTGTAGAAGTCGGAAGGGCTTTTTTGTCAGTCAGAAGCGACCAGTCAGCAGCAAAGTCCAAGGAGAGTCGGAAGAAATCTGGAAACGACAAACAAAGGCAGACGGTACCAGCCCATAACCAGTAGAGGAAGTCCAGAAGGTGGATCACCAGGTACAAAAATCCAGTTGTGGAAGTCGTCCACACACATTAGCTTGCAGGACCAGGTGGAAGTTCTGCTGCGCTATCTTGGGATAAGCTCCTGTGCGCTGCGGTAGTGAAAAGCCAACGGCACTAAGCCCCGGTAGCCATAGCTAGGTCGAGTGAGCGCAAGAGTCACTTTGACAGGTATTCAAAGAGGATGTGAGGCTGAGAGAGAGACAGAGAGAGTGAAACAGTTTTCACCTTTGGCAGTAGCCGATGCAGATCCCAGGGGTCGATCCCTTGACCTCAGCTTACCTGTGTACAGTATCTGCACAGTTCCCTGGAGTTGAAC